ACACTTCGTGTTGTATTTAAACAATTTATTGCTCTCATTGCACAGATTTTTTAATGCAGCCAACTGATGATTGCTACTTGTTTTTTCTTCATATTAGTTTTTATGAACCAGTTATTTTCAGTGGTGAACGGTTCTTCATGGTCTTTATCTGCGTTTATCCAGTTTGAATTATACTCTTACTTGATTGATTCTATGTCAAATGCATGGTTTCTCTTCGAACTACAGATGTTTTGAACAGAGAATAAAAGAAAGTAGAATAACTAAGAGTTCATATAAATACAAGCTCACCCGCGTAGTGGGGGTGGCGTTGGGGGGGGATGAGGGGACGGGGCATAAGTTTTCATGGCTCTTGCTGTAAAGAATTGATCTGAGGAAGATGGGAATTCCCATCAGTTTCAAAATTGTCATTATAAACGTTGGCTGATGTTTTTTTGTCCACCACAGGCATTTCTTGGGCTTTTCCCTCATTGTATGTTAACATGTCTGAGGGTGTCTTGTCTTTGCTTTTACCCCACACCACTGCGTAAAGTCCGAATACTATGATGATTGCTCCAATTAAGCTGCGATTACATTTGAAATTAGATCATCGGTTAGATCCTTCAAACTCAAACCCAAATCACCAGTTAGGTCCGGTTCAGGTTCTAGTGGTTCCTAGAAAAAAATGTGGACTCCTTGTCCTAGGACGCGTCAATTTGGCATGGCTTTTTGAGAAGTCAAAATGAGTTTTTGAAATTCAGAAGCTGCTCTTGGACCATTGGTTGATTTTATGAAAGTACTTCTAACTACATGTGATCTTTAGAGGAAGTCAATTTAATATGAATTTTTTAAAAATACTTATGGAATGGAAAGTACTTTTAAAAATCAGTTTTCAAGCAAAAATTAAGATATATTTTTTTAGAAGTTCTTCTACAAAAGCAAAAGTTATGCTAAACAGGCTTTACATACATTTATGTGTTAGTCGAGCTTATTTGATGTGCGAGAGAGAGAGAGAGAGTAATTGGACATGAGCAGAATATATACCTTCCAAGGTGAACTTGTTCAGACAAAATAATGGCTCCCAGAACAGCTGTGATTACCATGCTTAGGGGACTAAACGCTGTCACAAACACTGGACCTCGTACCTTGTTCACAGTACCTTGCAAGTAATATGCAATTCCTGAGCAAACAATCCCCTGTCATGGACATCATAGAATTATCTTGAACCTATAACAAAATAATAATAATAATAATAATAATAAGAGCCTCGACTCTCGATAATTGTCATATAAAGTCATGATAGTTATAAACTAAGATGTGATCGAGTGTAGTTCAACTTTTACTCACAGAATAGGCTGCAACTAGAAGTCTCGAGTCGAAACCAATAGCCCAAGCACTTGTATGGCGTTCCATTACCAACGCCACCACTCCACCTTCTACCATGCCCATGAAACAAACTAAAGATGTAAGAGAGAGCTCGGCCGGATATTCCTTCCGCGTCTTATTCTGCTCAAATTATAGATAAGAAATATAAGAGAATTAGGTCACTCCACCTGGATGATAATATAATCCTTATTTGGCAGGGATTTTGTGAAGAATTTTTAGTGAATTTCATGCCGCAATACAATGTATTGTCAGTGCACGGAGCCACATTTTTTACTGAAATAAGTAAAATGACTAATGTGTCTCTGTATCATTTAATTTATTATTTATTAGAAAATGGCATTTCTGGTAAATGGATTCATGTTGAGTTAAGCACAAATGGGACCAACCTATCTTTCCAACAGTCAAAAACTAGATTAAAATCTTCATGAAGTCTCTCCCGGACAGACTATATAAGAAAAAAATGAAGAGAGAGTACTTACTTGAACAATAAAGAAGGCTGACCATCCTACAATACACGAAATCAACATGATCGTACCACCAACCCAATGTTCATGATCGGCCGAGTCAGCAGTGGGTCCATGGTGATGGTGGCTACCGCCTTTTGAGTACCATAAGAAATCGACGATAGGGCCTTTGTAAAATGTCATGACCATTGCTCCTGAGACTGTTACTACTGTTCCAATGATCTTTGCTAGACTATGCATTTGTTTTGGGTTTACCTTCTCCAACCTAATGAGGTAAAGAAATTATTAGGCAGTGCCATGAATCGGCCACCGGGGCTTGATCGGTTTTAACTGTGATGAATGAAGTTGATACCTGAAAATAATTGCCATCATGAAGGTGATGGCAGGGAGAACATTGACAATTGCAGATGCAAATGTTGCAGATGTGGACTTCATTCCAATGTAGTACAAGTTCTGATCCAACACCGGCCTAAAAATGCGAAAATCCAAACAATTTTTCAATCACTTAATTATTTTTTATATGTTTGATAAGTTAAATTGGACATAAGTAGACGAAACATGTCTAGTTCAATTGATCGTACACAAAATGAGCCATCTCGTGTAATATTCACCATTAAGTTATCAATATATATGCAAACATTATGAGAATTGTTAAAGGGAATTACTCAAGAAAAGCTGGCAGCATTATCTTTAAAAACACTGATAGTGTCATCTTTGGCCTTAATTTCCTGCAAAAGGGTATTCAATAGTATGATTAATTAATTTGTTATACATCAACAAAAAATTTAAAAAAAGTATATATTGTCCTCTTGTGTAATGCGTCTATGAATCAAATTTAGAGAAAAAAAAAATCGACTAGATATATGTGGACAAACCTCTCAAGAAAAAATGCGAAGGGAGCGAAAATTAGTGTGGCCACAGCATAACGATAAACAACAAGAATCCAATGACTAAACCCTTGCTTCAAAGACACCATGGTAATAATGTACATTCCGGCATAGCCGAATTGCAAAGATATCATAGCCAAGTAGGGTTTCATCTTATTGAAAGCTAAACTCATCATCCTCCATGAAGTTTGGTCTCCCATCTTACTCTCTAATTTCTCTTACACTACTATTGCATTGAATGAACATAAATGGGAAATTGTATGGCCTTTTATAAGCAAAGCAAGAAAAAATGTGCGTATATGTGAGCGAACATACGTGCTCGAGCGTGTGTGTGTGTGTGTATGCATGTATGCATGGTGGCACTAACTTTTTAATCCTCTTTTAAGATTCCTAATCTATCAAACTCCAATACTACCCATAGCTTAAGTAACCAGAATCATTGGCATAAATTATAGAAAAAAATTCTTCAATTTAAGATAAAGAGTTCTCCTCAGTAGAGAAATGATTTGCAAAGTGGAGTTTGAATGTATTGACTAGGCTATAAGTAAAAACCGCAAAATCGGAAAATCGAATCGAAATCGCATTTTAGAAATCGTCAGTTTGGTGCCACGTGAACCCGGTCAACGAAATAGTTTTGACCCAAACCAAACCGGTCAAAATAGTTTGGTTTAGGTTTGAGAATTTTAATTGCGGTTTAAAATCAAATCGGACGGGCGAAAAAATATATAAAAATAAAAAAATGAAAAAATGAAATTTTTTGAAAATTCATCTAAATATGTAAAATTCAATAATTTTGTCATATGTGGGTATTTTTGCAAGATCATAGGAATATAATTAAATGTATGGTTTTCCTCTTTCAGAAAAAAAAAATGTAGGATTTTCTCGCAACATGATGATAAATTCTTATTTGATTTTATAAGTTCAAATCGAATGTATC